CTCGTGGGGTGGTATGTGTCATCCTGAAGCTCGGGTCCTCTACCAGCGGCCTGGGAGTTTGAGGGTTCTGCGCAGTATCCTCGCCTTTCCTAGGACTGCGCTCTTCTGGATGATGTTTTACCTGGAATCTGCTGTAGCATATATATATATATATATATATATATATATATATACATATCCTTCCCATTAAGGGATTAAAGAGACTAGAGAGAAATCAAAATAACACACTTTATGGTTATAATTTATTTGCTGTCAGGCATGCACCGGCAACCTTTAATCATTCATGGATGAATTCAAAATTTCAAACAAATAAAAAAAAGTAGAACATGGTATAATAATAGCCTGCAATAATAACAAGAAAACACAAACCATCTACAATCACTCACTGGTGTTTCTCCTTTGTTATACAAGAGAGACAAAAAAAAAAACACACAAAAAAAACAAGTTGGATCGGAAAAATTCTTAGTTATGATGTTGCCTAATAATCCTGCATACCTCTTTGTTGCTTAATGACTCAGATCCATATAATTCTGAGAAACAAACTGAATTTTCCTATAATAGATATTTTAGAATAAATGTTTTATACATTCTAAAAATATCAGTTGTAATTTTTAAAGAAAAACTTTTTGCTATCCTTATGAACTGCATAGGAAGGTGTGCTCAAACTTTAAAAGTCCTTAAAGACCGCTCGCCATTGCACCAGAGCATATTTGCAATTGTTAGAGGGTGTGAATCCTAACGTGTATGGAATATTCCACTTATATAGAAAAAAAGGCAGAAAACATTTACTTTCCATTTGATATTGTGGTTAATTTTAAGAGATGAGTAGGAAAAAGCTGAAATAAAAATAATTTTTGAAACAGCTCTAAACATACATTAATTAAAAACAAAAAATCATGATATTCCTAATTCATTCTCTCTGAAGGGGTCTTTTTAAGTTTTCCAAGTTTTTTGTCAGTCGAAAAAAGAAATGCAAAAGTATTGTTGGTCAGAAACTGTGCTGTTTTGCAAGAATTTCGCTATTGCAAAGATTGTAGATTTTCCTCACAATGGACTGCTGGTCATTGCACCTCATTATGCAACCACAACAAAGAGGTACCAGAAAGTAACGCATTCCACGGATGTCAGTGTCACAGGTTTATTTACGAGACATGGTGGCCATGTGAACGTGGTGTTAGATAACAGGTGTTTCATAAACTAACATGCTAAAAGACACATGTTCACGTGCATATCAACTAGGGCTGAAACAACTCATCAGATTAATTGTGATTAATTGATTATTGAGCACTTTAAATCGTCCATGTAATGACTATTACAGTGCAAAGAAAGTTGCCTTGCCATTGACATAACCGTAAAATATATTAATAATCGATTAATCGTCAACTGGAGACTCTAAAGCATGCCTTTAGCTGACAGAGCAATCCACTTAGAGCAATAACTATAGTAGAACAGTAATGTATATATATCTAAATATTTGCATTTGAAATAAAAAAAAAAAAGTCCATCAATGTACTCTATTCAGGACTCCACAAGTGTAAACGTTATTGTTTCACCTGGTTTGATTCTGAAAAAAAAAAATCTTCTTTAGGTAACTTTTGCTCATTTTTAATTGAACTTTGAACTTGCACACACTGCAGAAATTTACCTCTGCAGTCAACCCATCCCCTTGGGGAGCAGTGTGGGGTTAAGGGACTTGCTCAGGGACCCAGAGTGTAGGCTGTGGGGATTGAACTGGGTACTTGAAACCTTCTAAGAGCACAAGCGCACCGCTCTAACCACTAGGCCAACACCTCCTCCAACAAGCTATCCGTTTATTATTCGAAAATAATCCACAGAAGAATCGATAAGCAAAATAATCCATAGTTGTAGCCCTGATGTCTACATGTTCATTCAGTCTTCGATTAATTTGAGAGGAAAATTTTCAGCTGAATTTTTCAAAGCAGTACTAATTGGGAACAACCAGCATGTCTCGAGGATTCCATCCATTCATTGTTGGGGCTGTCAGGATGAATGTAACTCTGTTGTGCCTGTTTTTTGGAGAGGCAGACTCTGCAGTTGGAGAAAAACTTGACTTATATTAACATTAACCAGTCACAAGACTAACAAAGAGTGTTTGTGGTATGTTTTTTTTTTTCTTCTTTCATTTCATTTAATGTCTTTGAAAAAAAGAAAAATAAATATTACTATCAGCTAATATATGTTCAAATAGTTTCTTAAATCTACATTAGAAAATAGTCAAATTCTCAGCTTCATAAAAGTCCATTGTTCGGCGTTTGTTTTTTGCACATTCTTCTCAGGTCCGCCATGCCAGCACTTTTGCCTGACTGGTTGTGTGACATGCATGTCACAAAAAGCTTGCATAATCATGTTTGATTTTTCCATAGTCTTGGGAGCCCTTCGTTAGAAACTACTGAACAGAAATTGGAAAAAAATAAAAAGTGTCACTTTTAAATTGTCAGAAATGTAAACATCCTTAATCCTCTCAGTTCATTCAAATGTCAGTGAGTGAAACTGAAATGTTGAAGGAGTCCAAGAGTTAAGGTGATCATCAAGAAGCTACCTGTCAAGGTTCACAGGGTTTCTCTCATAGGCGTTGCCAGGCTAATTTTAACGGGGGTATGAGCCCCAAGATAAATGTTACACCATTTTCATTTTTCTGATCAAAGCTCAATACCATATTTTGACAGTTAAACAACAAATTGCTTTAAGATCCAGATGAGAAGGAAGCCTTCCTGCTCGAGACAGAAGTTTATTAGAACAAGGAAAGATGAGAGTATTGTTACAGCAATGTTTGCTCAGAAAACTTTTATTTTCTTTCAGGTCAGTTTGGATAACTTATTTATTTCTGTTGTCAGAAGATTGAGAGAGAGATGTAATTTTAGAGAGATTTTTTAATTGGATTCTTTACTGTCAGATTTTGATGTTTATGTCATTATCAATAGCAATACCTGTAGCTGTATACAGTACTGTTAAAGTGAACGATATGGACAATATGGGGATCCTTCCTTAATCTGTGACAATACTTTGCCGTAAATTTGGCCTATTCCTCCCAACAGAGCCTGCTTGTTCTCAAATACTTTAGAGCCCTTCCTTTAATGTTCCTTTTGGACTCAGTCCAAAAAATTGGCTTTATTGTCATTAATAGGCCTGGTAGTTTGGCGATTGGTTACAAGTAAGCTTTTCTCATCTTGCGTTTGTCTTAAGGTTTTGCTACAAAATTTTCTACAATGTGCTTTCCCTCATAATGCTATCTATTTTGTAGAGTGAAGTCCCTTCTGTTGCAAAACACCCACACAAAATCAGGCTTCCACATCCATACAGTCGGGATTTTGTTCTCAACCCTGTAACCTTTCCCCTTTTTTCCTCCAAGTATAACAATGGAAATTAAGGCCAAACACTACAATTTTTGTTTGATCAGCCTACAGATCTCCAAAAGATGAGGTCTTTGTCCCTCTGTACATTAGCAAACTCTTACTCTGTAATTCAGTGAGTGTACAAGGATTTGCTTCACACAATGGATAATAAAAAATCCTCACTCAGACTTTCCTAAATTAATAAAATGACATACTAATATTGATCTAACTTGACTTTCAAGAAAGTGACTAAATAAAAAATGTATCTGCCGTTTAGCTAAAATAAATATTTTTTTAAACCAAAACCTGTATTAAAAAAGTAGTCACTTTATTCAGTTTAAAATCAGTTTTGAACAGTGATTTGCCTTACTTCCCCAAATGAATTTTAAACAGAGATATTTTTTTATCTTCCATTAACATTTCTAGTTTTAATCTGCTAAATGATCCCCTTATACTAAGTTAGATAATGTCTTTTAGATGTATTGTCAGTGAAAAGGGCATCACGTGCTGCACAATATGTAAACAGCTAGCAAAAATTCCTCTAATTCTCCAAACTTCCATCCCTCTCGCCTTCTCTCCCGTGCATGGATGCCTGTCATTCCAGTGCTCCTCCAGTGAACATGCTGGACAGCCACATCCTGGGCTAACGCCCTGCTCTCGCCTGCCTGGAGAACAGGTCAAACTAGAGGTGCAGGAGAACCTGTCTGGCAGCAACTCCACCTCTGCCCATGTGGGGATGGGCACTTCTACCCTTTTTGCTTTGATTTTTGACCTTTAACCCAATTCATCTCATTAAGGCAGATGAGAACAAGTAGAAGATCTAGAGCTACTTTGATGGTTACTGTGTCTTCTTTATATCTCAGTGCATTTAGTTTCTCCTTCCAGAGACAGCTCTTTAAATTATCATCTGATTATTTATTGTATAAGTGAGAATCTGCAGGTACACATTTGTTTCTCAATCCAAGGCCTGCAGCCTTTGTGACCCCGTCCCCTTCATCACCATTCATGAAGAAGCCCAATCACAGCCAGGCTCAGTCAGGACATGAGGGTGGAGCATGACACTGAAACAGGGTGTGGTTCTGAAACTTGGAGGGTTGTAGCAGAGGCCAAGGACTTTAAATTGAGCTGCTTGAGCCCAGCAACCACAATCATCCCAGCTGATCAGCCACTTCTACTCACTCCCTTCTGGTTGCCTCCTCACGAGACTTTCTACTCTTTACAGACCAGCACTTAATCTACTGTTGGATTTTTTTTTTCTTTATTCTTCATGATACAACTTCACAATTGAAGGAAGCTGGAGGCTGCCACTCACAAGTTAGCTACCTGAGTGTACCTGTTGCCTTCACCTGATCCCTCTCACCGCTGATCTGCTGGATCCTCTGGACTGAGTGCTGTCTGCTCTGGCTGCAGAGCTGCCGTCTTCCTCACAGGAGTCCTGAAGACCTGTTTTTTAGGTGAGCTACAAACAGAAAAGCTGAACTTGTGTATCCTCCTCACATCTGTTTTTTTTTCAAGCTCAAATTATTATTTTAGATAATAGAACCTGATCTTACCTTCATTTCAATTCACTCGTTTTTGCTGCTGTTTTAAACACTTTCTCTAAGCTTGATCTATTATAAAGAAACTCAAGTTTACTCCTCATGCCTCAGTTCATTGAAAGCCACATGGGGTGAGACATTTGCCTCACCTGTTGGACCTGCTCTGTCAGCTATGACTATTTCATTGTTATGGCTGCGTCATGTTTTTTAATCCGTCCCCAAACTGCCACTACCTTAAAGAAAGCGCTTTGACTGCATCAGAACCTGCATTTGCACATTCTGCATGCATATTAGTCTTGGAGGCAGAGAAGTCAGGGTCACACAGGGACATTTATTGAGCATTAGCAGCTGCCTTCTGTTTGTTCAGTCAATAGGGAAGCAGGCGTACAGAGTACAGAGCGTATTCCATCCTTTCTCACTATCAGGTCCACTTTCAATCAAATTTTCAAACTTCTTTACTTTTTTGCGTTTCAGGAATTTGGCTGAAAGAAAAACAAACCGTCACTATGCTGCGGGAAGCTTTTACAAGTGTGACCAAACTCCACGGTTACATAATATCCAGAACTGGTAAGAGTGTGTTAAATGCTTTACTTTAAAGGATTATTTTTGTCTCTCACTATATTTAATTCAAGTTAAAAGTTTTTACATTTGAAAATACTGAAATGTCAAGTAGGTAAAATGTATTTATAGAGCTCCTTTTACAGACAAAGTCTGCTCTTTATTGGAATTAAGTTTTTATTATTTTTAACTGACAGATTTTCATAAGCCTACCTTTATGTTTCGGTAAGCATTGAGGTGAGAAAATGACAAGGGTGTGTGTGCATTTTTCCAGATGGCAGAGTGAAGGATTACCCTCTGATGCAGAGTCCTGTGCAGATGACTGGCATCCTCCTGATTTATGTCATCTTCTCTGTGTACGTCGGCCCACGCATGATGGCCAACCGCAAGCCATTCGCCCTCAACAGACCAATGATCATCTACAACCTCAGCATGGTTTTGCTGAATGCCTACATAGTGTATGAGGTAAAAACAATATAAAAGACAGAAAAATTATGTGTTCAGTCAAATAAAAGGCATCAGCATGTAATGATGGCTAATTTGTTTTTATTTGTTTATTTACAAACTCAGTTCATGATGTCTGGATGGGCCACCACCTTCACATGGAAATGTGACCTTATTGATCTCAGCACCAGCCCACAAGCTCTCAGGGTAAGTCAGCAAATCGGCATAGTAGCTTTGGCTCTAAACTTTGGCTGACTAGAATATAGTGTGCAAAAGTATCCAAGGAAAATGTTTTTGTGCTAATTGTATATCTATATTTAAAATTAAGAGGCTTCAAAATCTTAAGCACTGGATTTTAGAAGAATTTATGTAATACATATATTTGAAAATCCAAATTAAAAGATTTCAGGTTGTTAAAAAAAAAAACTCTGAGTTCAACCTTTATTTCTACTCTTTGTTGGTGTTTGGCAGAGGAATAAAAACAGGTTAATAAAGATTCAACATTTAGAAAACTTATAAAGATGAGGAGAAGCACTGTAATTCAGGACTAATTGTTCTATGCAAATCCAAATAAACTGTATCTGAAGAAACTAAACATTGGTTTAAAGCCCAATTGAATAAGAAGTATAATTAGATTTTTCAAACTGTTTCCAAAGTAAAACTTGTTAGTTAAACCGTTAGTGTGCAAATATAATTGAATATGGGAAAACGGGTGAATGTTTGTTTAAAAACTAAAATAACACCTGAACTCTGAAAGTCCACAATAGCAACCATATGCGTCATTATGGTTGAATACTCCAAAAAGTATAGACATATGTTTTTGTTTCATTTCCATTTATTAAGTGAACAGTTTATACAAAATTAACCATAAATTAGCAGTTGTGTAAAATTAAAGGCCTTCTGTGTTGGGCAAACTCCCTAATGGTATACAGAGGGCTAATGATATTTCTGATTAGCAACAGTTCTGATATTTGACCAGACAAACATCTTCTTTCCTGCAGATGGTCCGAGCAGCTTGGTTGTTTTACTTTTCAAAATTCATCGAGCTCCTCGACACTGTAAGGACATTTTAACACCTTTTTTCTTCCACATTCATGGAGTAAATATTTACGAGTGTGGAAAAAAAAAATTAAAATTTCCTTTTGTTTTCCAAGGTATTCTTTGTGCTGAGAAAGAAGCAAAGCCAGATCACTTTTCTGCACGTCTTCCATCACTCATTCATGCCCTGGTCATGGTGGTGGGGTGTTACACTGACTCCTGGTGAGTGTTAAGGAACCAAAACATGCACTACACACTTGGGGCAACATTAGGTTAACCCATTGCAAGTTAATTTTGGATAACAAGAAGGGGTTTCCCTTCTATTAAACCCATCCTTGCTTTTGTTTCCTTTAAAGCTGGAGGAATGGGATCCTTCCATGCTATGGTGAACGCAGGGGTCCATGTCATCATGTACACCTACTACGGACTCTCTGCTGCAGGGCCTCGCTTCCAGAAGTATCTGTGGTGGAAGAAGCACATGACAGCCATCCAGCTGGTATGTTTCAGCTAAAAATAGATTTGTCACGTAAGAAACTAAAGGGTGAGCCAGCGTTGACGTTCGTTTCCATTTTATTTTCCAGACCCAGTTTGTTCTGATCTCCGTTCACATCAGCCAGTATTATTTCATGGAGAAGTGCGACTACCAGATGCCACTCTGGATCCATCTGATCTGGATGTATGGCATCTTCTTCTTCCTCCTCTTCTCCAACTTCTGGGTGCAGGCTTACATTAAGGGCAACCGGCTTCCTGTTGCAGACTATAAGCCAAACCAGAATGGCTCCACCAATGGACACATTGCAATGAATGGCAAACACCATGCAAACGGTCATGCTCACCCATATGAAAATGGTAACATAGTCATGGGGAAAGTGAAGGAAATTTAACTGACTCTGGGTGGGGGAAAGGAGACATGGGCGGTTAGTAGATATCACCACCTCAAATGTGCCACACATCTATATCTAGTAGCATATTTGAGTGCAGTAATTTAATATGCTACCTCTAAACTAGAGAATTTGTATATAATCTTATATTTTATTGAATTATCACCCCTGCGGGATATGATTGGCAGACCTGTTTTATGCCATTGATCTCTGAATGCAACACCCTGTACGTTGTTGCAGAAGCTGTTTACTGTGATGAACACTGAATGGAAAATTGGTGCTCATTTTGTCACTGATAGTATTCTTTAACTCAGGCTTGACCTGCAGCACTGTTCGGCTTAACAAGGCCCTTTTGTTGCTTGGGAGTATGGCAATGTTTCCACTAAACACAAGTATGTGTAAATATTACTATGAACTTCATGCATAAGTGTTTTTCATTGTAAATGTCAAATATTAAGGTTTTTTTTTTCTTTTTTATTTATCTTTTGAAATAAATCAAATATAAAGGTCTGTTTCATTTAGAAAGTAGTGATTATGTGCACTGAGTGAGCAACATGCCACATCTAATTTTTTATGAAGAACTATAGAATTATTATACTGTATATTACAGTATTGATGCATTTAATTTTGCCTTTTTGTGACGGTGACACATACACTGTTATACATGTCCTTCCATACATTCTTTCAAGACTCTGTATTGATCGATCTCTCAGTACACAGGGCATGACATCAATGAAGTTTTTTTTGTTTTAAAGCTTTAATGATTTGTGCAAACGGCTGTGAAAATAAATCTATCAATGTTTGTGTTTTGTTTTCCAGTGCAGCTGTTACTGTCATAAAAATACAAAGTTCTACATATAACCTATTAACTTGTATGGAAATAAAATATTCCCTGAAGTGGGGTGAAAAAAAATGTGTTTTTATTCATGACTAAAATTCTATGCATAATAAATCCAGGATGCATATGCGTTGTGCAATAGAACAGGTTGGGGTCAAAATAATTTTAAATTGAAAATATTTAATCCCAAAAAGAACTCCAATCTAATATTCAGGGTTGGATGTTGTAGATGGAAATGGGGATAATCTCTTCTAGTGAAGTCAGTGTTACGGGATCGTCGGGCTGAAAACATTCAGTAGGACAGGGTTATTTCTAATACTCCGGTTTGTAGATAGAATCCCACTTTGCACAATTTTCAGAAACTTCATAGCAGTCCCTGGATCATAATCATGCTTTTCTCCCGGTTTAGAGCTGCAAGTTACGGACTAATGCCATTAATGAAAGATTAATAAGTTGCAATCTCCACAACAAATCTGCAGCATCTTTGCAACTAAAAGATTTAATAAAATACTTTTTTTTAACCATGCAATTTAAATATCTGCTTGTTGGAAACTTGTAAAACCTTTGATAGCAATACAATGTGATAGCACACTTAGGACAAGTATTAGAAAAAAAAAAATGTAATTTATTTTCGATTAGGCAGAATTTTAAGAACCGGAAAATTCAACTTCAAAATTTCAAGGTTAAAGTCTGAAATATTCACCTTTTAAGTTTCCGTAGGTGTCAATGCCACACTTTTGTTCACATTGTGCCAACAGAGAAAGCACACAGGATACTGAAATAGTTGCCACAACCATGTTTGTGCATTTTTACTTAAGAGACACAATTAGGAACATAAAGAAAAAATTCAAGTCCTGAATTTACACACCAAAAAAAAAAAAAAGAAATTCCAATGGTACCACATTCTAGACTTAAAACTGAAAGCTTGTTTCTGGGCCTGTTAGTGATAGGATATTTTTGGAATCAGCTTATCTAAACAAACATCTTTAAATACATTCATGTAATACAGCATAACATTTGAAAATAAATACGTAACCTGCACTAATCCATCTCGAAATGCTCATTCCACTTTGAGTTTCTGCAAACTGCTTTGATTGTTGCACCTTTACAAGTTGACAGTTTACAATGGGGATGCAAACTCCTAATCATGAGCAGATCAAAAAAAATTTCTAAACATTGGGTAGTAAATTATGGTCCTAAAGTCTTTAAAGCAACTTTAAGTTATCTACCTACAGATAGAGACAAAAGACTTGTCCAACCCTGTTCTTAAAGGGGCAGATGGTTATTCCACTTTACAAAAGTACTAGAAAAGACAATTCTAGTTATAGCTTTGGAAACCCCTCATAACTTGATTTGCACATCCAAAAATAATTTAAGGCAACAAAATTATAAAACCTCCATTTAAAGAATTCTGCCATATGCGTAATTTATTGCATGTCTATGTCCAAAGTGACATTGCAACCAAAATCCCACCCCCAAAGTGAAATGGCATTCAAATAAGTTTCCATGATCACCATTTAAACCTTTAGGTTCATTATGCCTCCACTTTGGAACGTTCTGTTGCACGGATTCACTGAGCCATCTAGTGGCAGATTAAATAATCATCCCCATGGAAGCTTTCTGGTTGAGCAAGTGTCATAAAGCAGGCATCCCAAACCTCAGTCCTTGAGGCCCGCTGTCCTGCAGGTTTTAGAGGGATCCTTGCTCGAGCACAGCTGATTTTAATTGAAAGCTGATTAAAAAAACTTTTGGTCTACTGCAGTCATTAAAATCTGATGTTTTAAAGCAGGGGAACCTATAAAACCTGCATGACAGCGGGCCTCGAGGACCGAGGTTGGGGATGCCTGTCATAAAGGACACTTCAAAAGGAGCTGACCAAAAACAGTCAAACACATTTCCCCCTTCAACCTTTCTTGTGCTCACTTGATAAGATGAACATGGATACTCCACTATATGTTCAACTATAGGACCTAAAATGAAACTCCTAACCACAGCCACAACTGATCTTGAAAAATATGAACAGAATCACATCAGGTGCATGTCATAAATGCAATTTATTAAAATCCTGATACCAATAGTAGAGGGAACATTGTGATAAAACCAGTGCAAACTATACATTTCTCAAATATTAGTTAAAATGAAGAAAAAAAAAAAAAAAAAAAAGCATACCTCTACCAGTTCTCTTAGACTAAAAAAAAATTAAAACACATAACATTTCCAACAGTCAAAAGAACTGGATTGTAAGTTTTATTGCATTTTAAAAACATTTGCTTAGATAACATATGATAAATAATGTCAACGCTTTGGGAAACTATCTGATTGACTGATTAATGACGCTGGTGGCTGGTTTGGCCATCCTCTCCTTAGCCTTCTTCTTTGCAGGATCCATCTCAAAGGCCTTCCAGATTCGAATGGTTTCATCTGCAGCAACCGTTGCCATGGTTGAACAGTCTGGGCTTAAAACAAGATTGAGAACTCTGCCCTCATGACCTAAATAAAAAAAATAAAATGAAGGTCTTTGAGTGCATTTTCTCCACAGTCATTTGACATTTACCCAATTTTGTAATGATCCATGCAATAAACTTGTACCAACTGTCAAAGATCGAGCATAGCTCTTCTTGCATAATAAATCCAACCCAAAAAGAACTTCTCATGTACGTGTTGGTCCAAACATTACAGCATATTCCCTGACAAATTTCCTAAACTGTCCCCACAAGGTAGGGCTTGATAAAAACATACAGAGATAGACTAGATAATATAAATTAAAGTCGTTTCCTACCATCAAGCTCTGCAACCTTTGTGAGTGAGGGGTACTTCCAAATGACAATGCTGTTATGGGCGTATCCATGTGCAGAGACCAATTCTTTGTAATTGGGTGCGAACACAAGTGACGAAATCTGCAATTTAAGGGATTTGTTTTAAGCTCGGGAAAATCATTATAAAAGCACACCGGACTTCAAGGGTTGAGGAAAGTGTGGTTACCTGGGACTGAGTGTCAAGTGAACTGAAACAGGAGCCAGAGTTCACGTTCCAGAGGCGTATATGGCGGTCACTGGTGCCGCCACCAGAAGCAAGAACATTTGACTGCCACGGACACCAGGCCAAAGCCTGTCAAGAGAAATGCAAGATGCCATAAATTTACAATAGAGATCCAAAACATTCATTTGTGTCCATTATAACGGATATTTTGCTCACCCGAATCTTTTACAATTTAGGATTAACTCAATGCTTTATTATACTCTTTAGAGAACACCCTGACCTTTTCAATGATGGGTCATGTGATATTTTTTCCTTAATTAAAATGGCTAGTAGAAAGTTAAGTTAAAAGATAAATGATAAACTTGATAGGAAATGACCAAATGTAAGGTGCTTTACTACAAAAGCATGCTTCCAGGATTAGCACCTATTAAAATAGCCATACAAAGAGAGACTGGAAAACTAGTTTTAGCATGTATGAGTTAGGTTATTTCATACAAATAAAAATAGTAAAAACTGGAAAACAGTTTCCTCAACCATCCAAGTGCAATACACTACATAACTGTTAATTTAAGTTATTGTTTTGCTATAGCCCTCTGTATTTATTTGTCTATCCTCATCCCCCAATACATCTTCCTACATCTTATTTAATTGTTTTTATTTTTCTATTGTATATACTGTGCCTAAACATCCTCTATTTTCTTGTATGTGCAATTTTTTTCCTGCTACTGGAAATACAATTTCCCGAAGGGAGTAAACCCAAGGGATTAATAAAGTCTAAGTCTAACAAAAAAATGGAATTTTGCCCCTTAAAAAACAAATTACAGAAGATCAAAAATGATTTGCCTTTTGTTAAAATGTAGAAAGCCAATTCTAAAAATCAGAAAAACAAATTTCTTAATTTTCAATGAAATGGACAAGCTCTAAATTCAAAATGAAAATGTATGTAAAAAAAAAAAAAAATTAAATTTTTCATTCAATTCAGCTTGAATAAATTACAACTGTACCAGCACAAGTTCATTTTGGGCTCAACTTTTGGGTCACTTAAACCCAAGTTTGGTCAGTTATATGCATTTAGAGTTCTCTTGATGGGAACTATTATGCAAGATTTAATTTTTTTTTTAACAATAAATAAAAATAAAAAAAAAACTCCACAAAGTTTATGTAAGGGCTGGTGAAAAACCAACATTTATATATCATTAAAACAACACATACAGTGATATTTGCTAAATCTCAATGCCTACTAGCTCTGCTAGTAGGGACTCACCTTGACTGCTCCTTGATGTTCGCTCCAGCTGCGGATCAACTGGCCCTCACCGTTAGAACCTCCCTCCTGAACACGGGGCCATAGACAAACCAAATTGTCATTGCCACCACTTGCCAGGTATCTCCCATCAGGTGACCATTTGAGGCCACAAACTTCCTGTGAATGGCCAGCAAGAGTGGAGATGTGATGGTTTGCCACCCTCACATCATGGTGGTGGATGTGTCCTGATCTGGAACCACTGGGGGGGAATAAATGCTTATATAAATAATGTTCTAGTTTAGTTCCACACATAAATTAGAGCAATCATACCTGGAAAGAATGTGATCATTCCAGCTTAGACTACCAACCCTAGCTGTGTGGCTAGCCATGCTGCGCAGGCGCTTCTGATTCTCGACATCCCACAACTAAATAGAAAGATGGATACATTTAGCTAGTAGGAACATTTATGAACATGGACTATCAGCACATGTACAAATATTTACCTGAACTTTGCTGTCACTGGTGCCAACAGCCAGGTAGCTTCCATCTTTGGTCCAAGACAAAGAGCATACGTAATCTTCGTCACGCTCCAGCTTCATGAGGAGGAGGATATCTCCAGACGCGGCATTCCAGAGGTACACATGGTTATGAAGTGCCACGGCAACAAAATTTCGACTACTCCAGTCAAGAAGATTTAGATCTGAAAGTTAGAAGGTATGTTAGTATGAAATATTTTTTATGGAAATCTTTAAGAATAAAAAATAAACAGATTTTGTATGGATTACAAAAATCATTTAGAAGTTCAGGCGCATCCAGGATCCTCTCTGGATTCGAAGAGATGTATCTGGTCTTTTTGAGAGAGGCAGGTGTCGTAACCTGACTGTAGAGGACTTTCAAGTTGTTCTGATAACCTTAAAAAAATACAAAATAAAAGTTGTGATCAGGAGATAAGCTGAGCGAAGTGAAATATTTCAACCTTAAAAGGGACAGTGCAAGTGCAGCTCTTACCCTCTGGCGCGTTCAATGGCTTCCCTCCAAGATGCAGGATCTTTGCATCCTCAATGTTGTAACCATTTAGTGTCACAGACCAAGCTTTCTTGCTTTCCTTTAAAAATAGCAGCGTGCATTAAAAAACAAATCCACATGAAGGGTTTCAATTTGGTTTTTCAAGCAACTTACTGATGAGACAGTAGTTTTTCCATCATCTGGTTCATTTTCTTTTGTAAGCAGGAAGTTTGCGACGTCCATCTGTTTGTTATTCCTGATGGGTATGAAGCGATCGCCTCCCATCTTTGAGGGAGTCTTCTTGCCTTTACCTGTAGAAATCATCCCAGTTACAAATCTCCCTTAAACATTTCTACATAACTTCATTCATTTTATTTTTACAGTATTTCAATCCCATATCAGCAATAATTCTTTGGTCAGATTATATGGATTACCTGGTGTCTTGGTGGGTGTTTTGGAGCTCAGTGATACATTAGCAGATTTTCCAGGGGACAAAGCGCTGAGGCCAGAGGTGTTGGATGAGCTCGCCTTTCTCTGCCACCTCGCCATGGGAGCGTTTGTGATCGGCATGTCGAGCTTCAGGATGCTGTGAATGTCGTTCTCGAACCCAAACTGCGCCATCTTATCCACGTTTTAACAGACCTGAGCATCAACCAAAAACCAACAATAGTCAAACTTAATGCCGAAGCTGATGATCCTCGTTTTGAAATATGCCTCTAGGCTACGTGCTAATGCTAGCTCCAACTCCTAAACTTGCATTAGCTTCATCTTTAAAAAGAACTTCAAAAACTGAACCTTTACGCCTTAATACATCTGAAGTATAGTTTTGATACATTTAAGAATTAATCTAAAAATATAATAAAAAAACGATACGGGGTTTTGTTTAGAAAAGCTTGTTTAGAAGATACGTGTCTTAAAAAAAAAAGTCAAATCGAAAACCGAGAGGCAACTTCGCACTTATTTGTATCTTCAGATAAAAAACACAGACATTCTAACCTCACCTCCAGCTGAAAACGTGGATTACTTGTTTGGAAGAATGACTCGACTTCTGCACGTCTCTGCTTCAGGTTTGAATTTCTCAAATTTGTTGCGTCACGGTTTAAATCGCACGACGGGCTTCTGTGATTGGCTCATTCAAGACGCTGCCGTTAAATTAGTTTCGTTGCCACGGTAGCGTAAGCACAAGCGTTATTCTGATTGGTGGTTGGTTTCTATATCCTGTGACGTTGACCTTCTTCTTCTTCTTCTTTCATGAGTGTGTAGCTCTATAGTTCCACCTACTATATTCTATTTTTATTTTTGTGTTATGTAAAAATAAAAACAATGCTTTATCAATAACCAAATTTTCCTCCCTGTCTCCATCTGTCCCTAAAAGACCTTTTTAATACTCCGACGTTGATCTCTCGGGGGATAAACAAAAAAAAAGAACCTCTCTAAAATTATGTCGCCACCTACTGGTTATTATTAAGTACTGAGCAAAATAGCCTATCTGTTCATAAAAAAAAGTGCGCATGGATTTCCAAATTTGAAAATGAAAGTCAATAATGCAAATAGATTTAAGAGTTGTGTTTGTCAATCAGACATTTTCAGTTTTGAAATCTTATGCATACCAGTTAGGTAGTTAGAAACTGCAAAAATCCAAGTACACATCACAAATTCCAAATGAGTATGAATCACTAATTTACAAGCAAAAGTCACACATTTACGAGTACAAATCACAGATTTACAATTATGAGTTACACATTTCTGTGTAAGACTTAGACATTTAGGAACATGAATTAAAACATTTAGGAGCACAAATCATAAATGATTGAGTTTGAGTAATTCTAATTCTTAAATTTGTCTTATTGCAAAGTTTTTATTTTCTGTCTTGCATTCTTAACTTCTATAAATTGTATTCTCACAGATGATCAGAGGTCACATGTATCTAAGTGTTAACAATGAACAAACAAATCTAATCAAATGTATTTACATTATTGATCTTCATTTACAAAAGCAGACATTTATGCATAGGTTTTAATGACAGCTGTCTTACCAAACAGTTATGGTTCTAGAATTAGATTATGATTGCACATAATAACATTAGATAAAGGGTTAAAAAAAACAAAAAACATATTTTTATAATTTATATAAAAAAGTTTATATTTAGAATATTTAAATTATTGAATGTACAATCACATTTAAACACCCAATACATTTCTGATGTTTTTGTTTTTGCCATAAATTTCCTATTTTGGTTATAATTTTTAAAAATCATCATTTTAAAAGAAAATCACAGGAATGGATGTCACAGTTACACTGTTGAGCAAAAAGGAGATATTGGATTTAAAACCCAGCGGTGCCTTTCTGGGGTTTTGGGACCCAGCGGATTGCAAGTTCCTGGTTTGAAACCAAGGCATCCTGAGCAAGATCCCAGATCTCAAGGGGATGGGTTAAATCTTAATCCTAATGTTGCAAGACAGACACAGATCATTACCAAATTCTTTACTTCTGTTTTTTTTGTTTTTTGTTTTTTTTGTGGAAAAAAAAAAATCCTCACTTTCAAATGAGTTCATCATGTCCACCCTTTATACTTTATTTCAGTTAAAATGTCTCAAAGAATTGTGATGCATTTTCTGGTTATGATTATATAGCTCAAGAACTCCCTAGTTCAGTTTTGCAGTTTAACTTGTATATGAATGGTCCCAGATTCCTCAACAGCATTGTTTACCTTTTCAGTGCTATTGAAATAAAAATCAGCATGTCAGCAAAGAGGAGGACAAAAATTTCCTGGTAGGCTTAGACAAACTTTGTTGTTTGGTATACACAGAGAGTATACAAAACGAAATTACGTTTTGTACAGCTCTCATGACATTTCTATTTCTTAAAGTGCCAGCAGTGGTCAAAAGTAAACATTGAGATAAAAAAAAAAAAAAACATGTTGCAAAAAACACATTGATATGGTAGACGGCTGTCCTTACTTTAGTCTTGATTAAACACAGTGGATCAAAAACCAGCAGATATCATTCCACAAATCTCACCAGCTTCATACTGCTAGTGTTCTCAAGGAGTAGAGTGGAAAACGGTGTAAATAATAAGAAATGTAGCAGAGATATCGGATGTGTATGATATATCCGTGCCTTTGAATCACCTGTGAACAAATTTTAAATAGGCTTTGTTTTTAGTAACTCCTGTAAGGATGCAATGAACATTCCTTAATCAAATTCCTTTTGGGGGATTATATAATGACTGAGATGCTGGATGGTTGGATGTTTTAGATCTACAAAAACATAAAGTCATTGTAATAAAAGTTTTAAATATATAACTAAGGAATCTATATGGGACGTTTGGCCTTTAAATCCAGTTGTTTGAATAAATACACTTTTTATTCATATTAATATATCACCTAAGGAGGGCTTTGGAGTTTAAACTATTTTTCATAAAAAAAAAAAATTATATATATATATATATATATATATATATATACACACACACACACACACACATATATATATATACATATATACACACACACATACACACATATATATACATATATACACATATATACACAGACACCTGGCCCCTGTGATGCTTTTTTTTCAACTTTTTCTTAAATACATGAATTATCTTGAAAAACGCAGATGTTTTAATTATTTCTACCTATTACATGGTCTCAAATTCATGTAAGTTTACAGCACCCTTGTGCACCTCTACATTGTCAACCATTGTCCAAGTCAACCTACATTTACCTAAAATGCACTCACAAAAGAAATCCTGCATAAATGATTAACTTTGCATTTGAACTCTGAAAGTTTTTTCTTGCTCATAAACTACTTTTTATAGAATATTCCTGCTGAAAGACAGATTTTTTTCCAACTATGCACAAATCCTTAGCCTTGTTTCAAACCTAAAGAAGCAGCCACAGTGTTATAAGAGTTTTGCCTAATAAATATGAAGTATTTTTGTTTAAATATAATTCCCAGTTAAACTATAGGGTGATTCCCACCATCAGTAATTTATAATCAATTATGATGTATATGTTAATAGGAAAGTTATTTGGAGTTTGATCAGATTTACAGCATTTTTATAATGCTGCAGACTTTAGTAACAACAATAAACCATTATTTGATAAATACTGACAGAGCTGTGATTAATTAATGATTTAAGAGTGTTGTCAGGGACAAACCAGGTTTTGGTGTAAAAAATTTATTAGTTTGGACAATAATTTCACAAATGATCAGTTTACCAAGCACCTCTGTTACTTTTTCTAAAAGTATGCTATACGATAAACAGAGCATACAGAAAACAAACAAAAATAGAGAAAAATACAAATAAACAAAACAAAGAAACAGCATTTACAAGCAATATGCTACAACCATTTATTCATAAGCCTTTGAGTCACAGTGTACTGTAAGAACCTTTCTTTGTAGGAGCAGTGTCAGTCATATCCTTGGGGTAATGGATAATGGAGCCAATTACACCTATGATACAAAAAAAAATTCTTCATTAAAGAGCAAGAGATTGACACAAAAAGAAGAGCCTTCCAAGCAGTTTTCATTATTCTATCCACACTAGTTTAATGTTAATTATCAAAAAATCAGCAAAGACAAGTGAGGTCAGATTGCGAATATATAATTTGGATGGAGAAGAAAAAACACATGACAGACCCACAATCATCAAGTAGAACATACTCGTCCAAAGGCTATGTAGTTTATTTAATATTTAACTTTTTTATCAATCTTTTCCTAAGACTTTCAGCTGAAGCTTTCAAAAACTCGAGAAAACAGTAGAAGTGTTGTTGTTCTTACCTCCAGGGTTTCTTAGACCTAAACAGATTGTAAACAAAGACAAAGCACATGATATTACTTTTTTTTTTTAACTATGGGATGCCATACTGACGAGACATGTCAAATCAGGGTGTTAAGATAAAAGCATGTCGGCATAAGCAGAAAATATGGAACACCAATAGGATTTTTCTCCCTGAAGCAACGTTTAGCGATTAAAAAAAAACCAAAAGCTGTTGCTTACCTGGGCTTCTGGAGAGAAGAATGGTCATTACAATTAGCATTAAAAATGCAGTCACAGCCAAAATAGGAACCAAATATCTGGGCAGAGGAACTTCTTGAGCTAAAGAAAGGAAGAAAAACAATATTTCACACATCTATGTTTTGACTGTAAACAACATATTGACAGACTATCTGCTCCAAGATCTGTTCACCATATCACGCATTAATGTATTTGGATCACCAGACTGTTGTACAACAATAGTGCCTTTTGTTAGAGGTTTCTTAGGAGCAGATTTAAGAGAAATCACTGCAGAAGATCTGCCCTTCCCACAGCCATCAGTATCCACAACTATTTGAATAAAAAAATATTTGATTTATATTATTAATTGTCTCTTTGGTATTAAATTTTGTGATAGATTATAGTTGTTGTGTGTAATTCTGTCATCTTACTGTTGTAAAACATTGACTTTTAATCAAACAGAACCATAGAATTTGATAAATGAAGTGACATCATCTTGGCTTCTCCAAACAGCCAAAAGGCAAACTGTTGTGGGAAGTTTAGTGATACTAAAAAGATTTGGCCCAGGGCCATATTGTTTCAAAGAAAATCCAGACAGATACTAAAAAGTTTTATCTTTGAAATATGTCAGAAATAAAATGTAAAAATAGAAAAGATCTGAAAAAATATTTCAGCAAGCTGGAATTAAGCCAATATCAACCATATTGGTGAACCTCACCGACCTAAATTAGTGTATGGGATTTAATGTAGACATTCAGAAGAAAAGGGGCAATGCGTTTGCTTTTTATAAGCAATATGTAACCATAGGTATATAGTAGACTTTGATAAGTTGTATTCATTAGCTGTTAGAGAGACTATTCAAAACACCCAAAAAAAGACAGGCACAAAATATAAAAAAAGATCACAAAATGGCAAAATTACCCAAACCTCATGGGAAGATCCATCTTTTTGATCACCTGGTAAACTTTTATCTTCACATTAATTAGTTGGGAAACCAATTAAAAAAACGCATTCTTAATGTTTTTATGAAATGCTGGAAAAAATATATCGATACCTGACTGTTCCTCTGAAAGCTTCAGCTCCTTCATCAGCTTTGTGCATCCCTCCTGCAGGTGTCTCCTCTCCATCTGCGAGTGCTCCTGGTTCCATAGCTGTCTTAGAGCTGTTGCCTCTGGTAAATGGGCTGCCCAGGTGTCGTTGTGCTCAAGGGTGAGAAAAACCTTGCCATTGTAAAACACCCGGTCAGCCCAGTGGAGCCGCGACCCCTCTATGATGCATTCCCGAGACCGAAGAATGGTATGATTGTCTAAGGGCAGAGTTTAACAAATATAGATAACCAAACTGTGTTTGGACAAAAAAAATAAATAAAAAAAGAATTCTGCTGCTCTTACTCAGAGCCGTAGTTGGGTTGTTGTCAATTCCAGCTGGTAGAAGGGCATGGGTGGACATGCTTTTAATAATACTTTTGACCTCTTGGTTTGGGTTTAAGAGAGAGACTCCATTGAGCAGAACTTGCTCTGTGACATGCTGGTGTCCCACCACTCCCCAATGCTGGATCTGTACTATGATGGCATCTAGAGGGACATTAGAAGGGTGGTAAAAATGAACATTGTTCAAACAGTACACTATTTTATTTGTTTATTTTATTTGTTATTTTAACCCTTCACACTTATGTTATTCTACATTTTTCTAAGATCTACATTAGTGTGGCCATTTTTTCTATAATCTTTTTGCTACTGTAAGCACCAGAATTTCTCTAATGTGGTACAATAAAGCGATTTTCTATATGATTCTTTTCTATTCTGCAAAAAGAGGAAAATCCGATACCTGCATTACAATAAAAACACATGTTGAAAAACATATTTTATTTTATATTGCCAATACTACATTATATTATAAGCAGTATTGGCAAAAAAATAAATAAATAAATAAAAAAAACAATTTCAGAGATTTAAAGATTTTATTATGATCTAAGACATACATTTTACTATAGTTTAAGTTGTTGCTGAAAAACAAAAGTAAAACCAAAAGCAAAATACCTGATGATATACGACTAATAGTCTGGAAAGTTGCTAAGCTCCTCCTTGTTTTTTTTTATTTTTATTTTTTTTATTTCAGTCCGCCCAAACATCTATGTGCCTTGTATCTATGTTGTTGATAATAACCTGCCCCTGTTATTGGGTGGATTTTGTCAAAAGTGGCGCTGTTGAAACTAAACTTAAAGTAATGAAAACAAACACACCGTGTCAAATATTTTGACACCCCGACAACCTGATTTCACTGGTTTACTAACGTATACATTTTTTCCATTCCAGTTGATCAGGTTTTAAGACACTATTCCCGTTTATTCTCATAACGGAATTAAAACAGATATAAAGTTTCTTACCTACGTGAAGAGGAATAGCGCTCGATAAATGAGTAAGAACAACCAAAATAAATCCAAATAAGCTCATATCTGCGACTGCAGTCCGTTAAAGTCTTGAACTCAGCGAAATGTCAACACCTAATGACTTCTCCCAGTTTAAAGACACTCAGGAAGATTGTTTTAGACCATTTAAGAAGAGCCCAAAGAATTTCCCCAACACATCAACTGCAGCCTTTAAAATACGCAGCTTGACAGGACTGGTCGCTCCACGCCCATTTTCTTCTGCAGCAAAGAGGATATGGTGATTGACAGCCTCTGATTGGCTCCCTGCACTGCTGAACTCTTCACAGGTGTAGCTGTAAATACCAGGTTTACCCGGTTTGGAAAAGCACAAAATAACTTAATAATATAATTGAACTTTATTGATCTCACAGTGTATTTAATCCACCCCCTTGGGGAGCAGTGGGCTGCCATTGACAATGCCATTGGTTCTCACAATCTTCTCAGAGCACAAGCGCACTGCTCTAACCGGGCAACACTCCCCAAACTCCCTAACTTAAAGTCCCCCTGGATTTTACTTCCAACTAGGGAAACCAAAGGTTTCTTGATACCGCTTACCTTAATATCTAACATGGATGCCTTCTAAGTGATAGCTATGTTTTTGGTATTTAAATATTCTTTAGGATTTGTGTTCAGTTTAGATATCTATAAGGAAGAAATAGATATTTCCAATATATGTAAACGGCAGAGTTTTTGTTATTGGCTTAGAAAGAAGAAATAAAAAATTAACCTCATATGAAATAGTTTTTAGTGGTTCTGTAATGTCTGCTGTATGGAGGACCAACTCTGCCATATTTAAAAATAAATACATAAATAAATAAATGCTCAATAAATATATAAGCATACAATTAATTGCCAACAAAAATACAATAAACAAATAAATGTAAGTAGAAATTAAATTATAAAGTGAGACATAAATGTATATAACTCTTAATTAGCTTCTTTATTTTTTTGCCTTTGTAATATTTACGTTATTTATGTATTTTTGTTGGCAATATAAAATATAAGTAATTAAAAAATAAAGTTGAAGAATATAAAGGACAAAAAAATAAATAACGTAAATATTACAAAGGCAAATAAATAAAGAAGCTAATTAAGAGTTATATACATTTATGTCTCACTTTATAATTTAATTTCTACTTACATTTATTTGTTTATTGTATTTTTGTTGGCAATTAATTGTATGTTTATATATTTATTGAGCATTTATTTATTTATGTATTTATTTTTAAATATGGCAGAGTTGGTCCTCCATACTGCCGGGGACAGAGGTTAAAACAGGTGATCAGCAGGGTTTGCTGAGTCCTTCAAAAAGTATGCTTCCTGCAGGCAGCTATAGGTGACAGTGTTTACCAGGGCTGCTAGATGTGGGTTGGTCATCTGTCCTTTGTTTTTGACTCCCTGCAAAGCATTTTAATTGGCTCCTTGTCTATTTCCATAGCACGATATATCAGAGCAGGTATTTGTTGTCCTTCAGACATAGAGGACTTTTCATCCTCCTTTTTTGGATTTATTTTTGGTCTTTTAAACTCACCATTTGCGTATTTTGCCAATAGAATCCTGATCACCATATGTGCGTGTAAGATCCACACATGAACAGCACAAGATCAATTAATGCACATAATAATTCAAACAAGCACATAAAATTGACTTATTCACAAGACAAGATATCCTGATTTATAAACTACCAGTGTTCTTTGTACTCCATCTGTGTGTTTATTTTTTTTTAACTGATCTGACTTGACGCTATGATTTGCAATAAATTAGTTAACTTCATTATTTTAGCCAATCACAAGAATATATACAACTAATTGATGGAAGAGTAGCACCTTGCTACATCTGGAGGGGGAGTGGTGGCCTAATGGTTAGAGCATTGTGTTTGGGTGCCGGAGGTTTTTAGTTCAAGCCTCACTCCTGCAGACTGCGACTCTAGCTCCTTGCGAAGACCCTTAACCCCACACTGCTCCCTGGGCACCACACATGGCAGCCCACTGCTCCCCAAGGGGATCGGTTAAATGCAGAGGTAAATTTCTCCAGTGTGAGATCAATAAAGTTAAATTATTATTATGATCTCCTACTGTCAGCTCTCTTTGCTACAGAGTGGGGTACAGTCCATGTACTCTGTCTTGCTCTGGCGCACTCTCTATTGGAGGAGGATAACAGAGTTTGAACAGAGTGCAGAGTGGTCCAGCGGTCAGCACTAATATATGACATAATAGCACGAATATATGACATAATAAATGATTTATTTTAAAAGCCTTCCACAAACCTCTAAATATCATTCATTACTTCATCAAGATTTTCTGTCTTTAATTGAAAAAAGCTTTGTTTCCACTGCACTCTTTTCCTTATCTATTTTATTACTTTATTGTTTTTTTTTAATGTGGAACTGTTTTGTATTTAATATAATGTTATAAAACATATATCTTAATAAACTTGAAACAACAGTAACCAAAGTAGATTTTAAAATAAAAACGCAAACAAAAGCAGAACATGGAAAATGGCAGCTGGAGCAGGATATCCCATCCAAATATGGTATGGGTCTGACATGTGGTCAGTCTTCGCCTCTTTCTTTCTGCATTTCTTCCTACTTTTCCATACAGCAACACCATCACCCCTGTGGTATATGTTCTTGTGATTGGCTGTAACAATGGAATCAAGTAGGTGGTTGATAATCATAGCTTGTTAAAAAAAAGACCACTGGTAGTTTAAAGATACAGATATGATTATGCTTACATCACAAATAGTGTGAATTGTGAATCTAGTTTTTTGAATATGTACATTTTATGTGCTTGATTTAACCATTATATGCACATGTGGATCTTTATCCTTTGCTTTTGTGGATCACATTTTTGAGTTTGTGAATATTGAGACTCTCCTACCTCCATAGATGAGCTATCTTTAGAAATCTGAAAATTGTATCCAATGATGAACCAGACTTGTAAAGGTACGCAGTTCCTTTTTCATAGATCTTACTTATTTCTCCATAGATCTTACTTATTTCTGTTTTTTTTTTTTTTTTTTTTCCATGATGTCACAGAAGAAGAAGCTGTGAAGGTGGACCGCCAATGAACTCAAATGTACTGAATAATTCAGTTTCGGAGGCTCACAAAGCTCTAATATATTCACCTAGGTTTCCCAGATTTGTTTAAAGGCAAAC